AAAATATGAAAATAATAATTTATTATTTTTCTTTTTAAATATGTGAATAAAGTCTTCAGGGAACATTAAATATATATCTAAGAGATATCATATAATAATATTTAAGGGGAAAAAATAAAGAATATTGCAAAATTTACGACAAATATATAATTTTTAAATTTGAGCCAAATCCCGATCTAAATTAAACTGATTCCAACTAGAATCATTATAAAGCCATATGAGCTGCAACTTTGATGTGTGAAATTTTTGTTGCAAAATTGTTATTAAATATTTCAATGACACAAAAAATTGTCATTCTGTACAATTTCGAATTCTTGTATAATACTATACATACATGTTGCACAGAAATCCTTCTTCTGAATTTAATACCTTATTTTAGTGTAATTGACCATAAAAGTTTAAGTTACATACAGATTTATGACTAAAGCACATTTTAAAAGGAAAATAAAATTTTCAAAGCTGCAGCTCATATTGCTGTAAGTGAGAATGTTTTACAATTTCATACTATACTGGATTGGTTGTCTAAAATTTGATTTACAAATTAATTGAAATTATTAAGGAAGTTGATTTCGCCGTGGCAACTGTATCAAATCAACAAAATTTGTTGATTTTTATTTATTTAGAAAAAAAAAAATTGTTTTCGGGATCGGTTTCATTTCAATCGGGATCTGTGCATATTTTAACATTTACACTTTATGATAAATTTAGCAATATCATTTCAATTGCTTCTAAAATTTTGCTTGCTTATTATTTCTTATGTATATATGAAACATTTCTTGAAAATTTTATGCATGGACCAAATTCGTTTTATAATGATGAAATGCATAGGGCGACAAAATGTACCGTGACAATTCAAATGTCCCGGTAATGTTTTCTGGGTTCCCTGATTTCTCTTCTCTCAATTTGCCTTGTTTGATTGGCCTCTTGAGCTTGCAATTGATTACTGTACTTTATCTTCACATTTCATGTCCCAATTCATCCCATCCCACAGATTGAGTGCAAATGTTTCTTTTTAGCTTGTGCCAAGAGTTCGTTTCAAAGAAAAAAGTCTGTTATTTCAAATTTTTCTTTCATGTCTATATATTGCACACAACATTAAACAAGAGGCCCAAGGGCATTAACGGTCACCTGAGTATAATACAACAATTTAGAGGATCCATAGAGTATAAAATGAACTGAAAGGTGAAGCTTTGTTGCCCAAAAGCAAGAAAAATAGGGGTGATCAGGATCAACAAAATAATTAGTCTAGTGTTCATTAACAGTTCATAAATTAGGTTCTAATTTGTTCCCCATTTATCACTATCACCATACAGTATATTATCATACTAACAGTGCTTCTGTACTATGTTAAATCCTTGTTGAAGTGTCTTACATTGGACTCTCTTGGTCTTTGAGGAACATTGAATAAGACAAGTTATTTTTGTCTCATTTTAATTTATCTATTTTTTACAAGTCTATACCTGATCATTAAAACTATGAAAGTACTTTTTGTATTATACAATAAAAAATGTTGCATAATTCTCTTATTCTATTAACCTTTCAAGTACATTATTTACAGTGATTAATTATCAAACGTAAATGGCAAAGGGGAATAACTCCTCTCAGTAGAATACAAATTAATAGAGCCCTGGCCAGGACCAGAACACTTGACCAAATGGTCCAGATGTTCAAAAATCTTTACTAAAACTTTTACTCTTTTTGCCTCTGATATGTCCATGTGCAGAGAAGATTTTCAAAGAAACAATGCATTTCACTACAGATTCACTATATTATCAATAGATAATTATCAAAAGTAAATGGCAAAGGGGAATAACTCCTCTCAGTAGAATACAAATTAATAAAGCCCTGGCCAGGACCAGATCACTTGACCAAATGGTCCAGATGTTCAAAAATCTTTACTAAAACTTTTACTCTTTTTGCCTCTGATATGCCCAGGTGCAGAGAAGATTTTCAAAGAAACAATGCATTTCACTACAGATTCACTATATTATCAATAGAGCCCATTTTGGTAGAGTCACCCTTGTTTATCATAACTATGTATTTAATTTATTTAAATAATACCCAGGAGTAGAGAAGAAGATTTTCAAAGAAATAATGCACTTTCACTATATGATATATATAGCCCCGCCCTAGCACCAGAACCCCTTACCCTGGGGCTATGAATTTCACAATTTTGGTAGAGTCACCCTTGCTTATCATAACTATTTATTCAATTTGTTTCCATAATACCCAGGAGAAGAGAAGAAGATTTTCAAAGAAATAATGCACTTTCACTATATAATCTATATAGCCCCCCCCCTCCCCATAGGACAAGAACCCCTGATCCTTAGGGCCATGAATTTCACAATTTTGGTAGAGTCACCCTTGCTTATCATAACTATTTATTCAATTTGTTTCAATAATACCCAGGAGAAGAGAAGAAGATTTTCAAAGAAATAATGCACTTTCACTATGTGATGTATATAGCCCCGCCCTAGCACCAGAACCCCTTACCCTGGGGCCATGAATTTCACAATTTTGGTAGAGTTCTCCTGCTTATCATAACTATGTATTCAATTTGTTTCAATAACACCCAGGAGAAGAGAAGAAGATTTTCAAAGAAATAATGCACTTTCACTATATGATGTATATAGCCCCGCCCTAGCACCAGAACCCCTGACCCTGGAGCCATGAATTTCACAATTTTGGTAGAGGGCTCAATGCTTATTACAATCATACCAACAGTTTGACTGCTTGATGTCCAGGAGTAAAGAAGAAGATTTTTAAAGATTG